TCCTGCTGATGACATGATACTTGCATGTGGAGATGAAGGAAGAGGCAAACAGTAATTTCTTTGACTTTGTACTTAGAAAAGACCACCTGGATCAACAAAAAGTAGCTGAGAAGATTCTTAGCATCTCAAAGTGCTTCTGCTGACTTTGCACAGCTCTGGCATTTTCTCCACCAAGAAAGCAATTCTAGCTCACTGAAGCCTCGAAAACAGACCATTAATTCACAGCCAGACCTGAGGACAAACAAACCATTGCTCAACCCAAGATTTCAGTATGGCCTACAGCTAGAAAGCTGCTGCTCTGAGTTTAATTGCACACAGTGCAATTCTGAAGGTAGCTGTAGGTTTAAAAAAAAAGTTCTCTAGCTGCCAGCAATGAGCCTCTCCTCCTTCCCAGGGTAGCAAACACATGGTGAAGCTTTCTCTCACCACCAAGCTCCTGCTACCACAGTGACAGCAGTTCAGCACACCTTCTCTGCACCGAGGTCCAGGACAGACCTAATTGAATGGCTGAGGGTCAATCTCAATACTGTTTTACATCAGCATGGAACTACACCATACAAGTCACAAAGTGCAAATGAACACCCTGCCCTCTCCTCCTGCCAAGGTAAGCTGCTTTAGCAGGATCTCACTGAGCTGCTGGACCCTTGGCCACTGTCTTCTTCACAAACCAGTAGTGACCAGTCACCATGGGAAACCACTGCCAAAAAAGGACAACAATAAATGCGCAAACAAATAAACATAAGAGTCTAGAGATGAGAATGGGCAACATGAGTCTGGCCCCACTGCTGACCACTGACCTTCGTACTGACACTACAGCCGAACCCTCCAGTCTAAAACCAAGCAATATTCTCATTTGCGTCAGGGAGCCTTAGGGTGGATGAAGCACTTCTACAAAAGCAGTCTGAGAACTATTAAAGTCTGAGGCCACAGCCATGGCATGCCTCCCATGGAGCTGCATTCGCCATGCACCACCGCTAGCAGAACTGACTCTGTATGTGTGTCAGGACACAGAGCTGATATAACCCAGAACACGTGCAAGGAGCCGGCCCTGTCACTCTACTGTCATTGGTACTCAGCTCTGAGCTGTGCACTGGGATGCCACTGACTGGAAGAGACTTCTTCTAAAACAGCAAGTTTGTAGAAGGCTGTGCCTCATCTTCCATCCTTGGCTACATACAAGTGCCCTTAGTTCCCAGGACACTATTACAAATGCAATTTCTATGCTTTCTACTTTGGATCTGAAACTAAAACTCAGGCACTTCCTCTCTCCCTTTGGGTACATACATTGAATCACAGGATAAACAGATAATCGTAATTATTAACCCTATTTTCATGCAGCCTTTGCTGAACTGCAGGTATCAGCTGGAAAAATCTCTCCATAAGTCAAAGGACTGCTGCGATACAAGAGGCTATATATTTTTATAGGCAACACTTAGGAGTGGGATTTCTTTCTTTTTCTAAGTGCCTGGTAGTGTCTCAGAGACCTGCCTTTGAAATATAGCCAGGACTCCAGGTGGACCATGTCAGGTCCAGAACTGTCAACAGAAACAAGAAAGACTCTTCAGATCAGGAGAGGGTTCAGCTCTCACTTCAGATGAATACCAAAAGTATCTGTAGCATTTTTGTTGTTAGAAACAACACACCATAATTAAATTTAAAAGTCCAAATGCTGTCACTGTGTTCCTCCCCTGTCTTCGTCCTCATTTTTATTGTACGCCTTGGCACAAACTTCATGGTGTCTGCTTTCTGTATTGTCCTTAAATTATTCTCCCTTTTCTTCAAGATTACCTGATCTTATAGGGAGCTCCCTCTCCCCTCTTTTTCACTTTCTGCATTTTTTTCTTTCTTCTTCTCTATGCCAGTCTCTTTTTCAACTGTCATTTCCATTCTTCCACTACCTACCCTTTATCCCTCCACCACCTTTGAATGGAGATCATGGCTGGGATCATGTTCATTGCAAACGCAGGGGGAGCATTTGCAGTGGGACCTCTGAAGACAGCAGGGAAGCTGGCACTAACAGGTCGTGGGGGACAGGCAGCAATCACCTCGCTCCGCACAGCGTCGGGGCAGTCAGCTCTGGCACGTCCTGCTCTGGGGTGAGCTTTGTCAGAGCATTGCTCCATTCCCATGGAGCAGTAACATTATTACAAAGACGGAAAACATGACTGATGAAGGCCAGTTTACTGGATGAGTAGCACAGCTAACCAACAAGAGAGAGGTGAAGGAGCACTCAAACCAGGGTGTGAGTGCCAAAGAGGGGACTATTCTGGATGAAGTTCAACAACAGTGGCAGGAGCAATGGGATGTGAAGATGGGGAAGATGCAGACTAAACACTGACTGGCAAAAAAAGCTTTGTAGCAGTGAGAATTGGTGGAAATCTTTATGCTTGGGACTTGTTTTAGTAAGAGATGTTGAGCAGTGCTCCTCCACCCAGGGCCCATGCACCACTGGTGGCATGAAAACAGACTGCCAAACAATTACAGGATAACTAAACCCCCAAAAGGGAGAAGGCACAAGAAACACTAAACACAGACTCCCATTCAGCAGGTAGGCAAAATCGAGAAAAAATAAGAGTAATATATGGTTGTTCCCAATTGAACCAAATCTTATATGATATTAAATGGAAACCACTGTGACAGGGCTGTATAAGACAGTCCCTGGATGGTTTTCAATGAGGGGAGATGGTCCTTGCACTATAAAAGGTTGAAAAGTACTGGCATCGAGGAGAGCTGTGGATCACTGTAGGGAAAAAAAAAACCGCAAGAACAGAACAACGATAAAATAGTTTCCTATTCAGATTTCTTCAGTCCTTATGATTTTAGAGCGGTAAGAGAACAAATAATAAATTGCAAATCCAATGCTCTGCATTGATAGATGAATAGACTGCATCTCCTTGTCTTCGGAAAAGGAGTTTAGAAAGAGAGTTCACGGTCATCTGTGAAGATAGCTTAAAACCTGTGGCTAGGAAAAAAAAACATGAGGAGGCCACTGCCTATTAGACTTCAAATTTATAGTCTCAGCATGTCTCCCTACCTCATAATTCACCATCCTTCACTACCGAATCTAGGGATTAGGAAGCAGAGCAGACGGGCTGAAGAATGAATATTTATTTCCAGCACCACCAACCTTTTGCCACGAGACCATGACCCAGTCACCAAACACGTCCTGTCTCTGAGTTCCCATTTGCAAAGTGGGGACAAGGCTTCGCCTCCCCTTGGCACGGAGGGGCTTTATGGAGCTGGTTTAAAGAGCTTCAGGAAAAAGACTTTTCGATCTACTTGGGTCATTACAACAGCTGAACAAACTACCTGTTTGAAGCTTCAGTCTGAGCAGCAGCAACCAAAATTCTGAAAGTGTTACTGGAAAAACAAAACAAAAGGTGTTTACTCAAGAATATCTTATCTTCCGACCAGGCTCAGCACTGCCATGTTAGCATCATCTTCTTCTCTGTTTACACACAGAAGGTAACAGGAGCACCAAATGAGGGGCATGCTGAGACGAAGGGAAAGGTGAAAGAAGTAGGTACAGTGGATTTCTGAAACAGGTGGAGGGTGGACACAATTTGTCAAAGGAGCACAAGAGGAGGCCTGGAGTCCCCTGGGTGTGCAACAGACTTGGCCCAAAGCATATGAGTCTGTGATCCCCTCATTCTGCTTAGCAACTACAAACGGAGCACAGCTTGTGCCTGAGTCACTCTCTGCAGCTGGAAAGGCTGCCAGGATTATTTCTGAAGAAACAGGGCGCACGACCTCCATATCACACAATGCTCTATGCAGAGAAAGGACAAAGCTGCTCCTGAAAAGTGCTGGTCTCTGCTGTAAATACCCTTAATATAAGGAGAAAAACATCCGTGTCAAAATCAGGACGGGCTCAGGTCAGTCATCATCCAGTGCTCATGGAGCAAATGTTAAAGCCTTAAGCGATCTGAA